CCTGCGGGCTCAGGCAATCCACTCACCTCAGCCTCCCAAGGTGCGGAATTACAGGCTGAGCCACTGAACCTGGCGCTTTCTTTCTTTCTTTTTTTTTGAATTGGAGACTCACTCTTGTCACACAGGCTGGAGTGCAGTGGCATGCTCACCGTCATCGCAGGCTCGATCCTTCCGCCTCAGCTTTCGAAGTAGCTGGAACTACAGGCAAACGATCACACCCGGCTAGTTTTTTTTTGTGATTTATTGTAGTGACAAGGTCTCACCAAGTTGCCTAGGCTGGTCTCGAATCCCTGGACTAAGGCAATCCTCTCGCCTCGGCCTCCCAAAGTGCTGGAATTACAGGCTGAGCCACTGCACCCGACCTCTTTTTTTTTTTTTTTTAATACTTTGAAGTTTCCTTTATTTCTTACTCTTTCGTTACAACCAGGGGTAGGCCGGGCTCGGTGGCTCAGCCTGTAATCCCAGCACTTTGGGAGGCCGAGGTGAGTGGATTGCCTGAGCCCACGGGTTCGAGACCTGCCTGGGCAACTTGGAGAGACCTCATCTCTACAATAAATTAAAAATTAGCCGGGTGTGGTAGCACGCTACTTGGAAGGCTGAGGCGGAAGGATCGCCAGAGCCCAGCAGGTCGAGGCTGCGGTGGCCGGGAGCGGCCACTGCACTCCAGTCTGGGCGACAGAGTGAGACTCCAACTCAAAAAAAAAAATAAAAAAACAAACAAAAAAAGCAACCAGGGGTAATTTCCTCATGTACCACTCAACACTGATTTCTGTTCTAGAAATTTTTTTTTTTTTTTGAGAAAGCAGGATTTATTGAGAGGACAGAAAAGCTCCCACAATGGAAGGTGACCTGAGGGGGTTTCCCTAAAAATTTTAAAAAGTAAATGAGAGTGAGACAGAAACAAAGGAGATTCACCACCGCAAGGTAGAGAAGGGGGCCAAAGCCAGGAAACATGGTGATAGCCATAGCTCAAAGTGCACATGGCCACACCAGAGTCTGGTAAGGTAATGGCCTGAATGCCGCTTTTTTCGTGTTGGAGTCTCACTCTGTCACTCAGGCTGGAGTGCAGTGGCACACTCACAGCTACCACAGGCTCAGGCCATCCTTCTGCCTCAGCCTTCCAAATAGCTGGAACCACAGGCATGTGCCATCATACTTGGCTAATTGTTTTATTTATTGTAGAGTCGAGGTCTCACCAGGTTGCCCAGGCTGGTCTTGAACCCCTAGACTAAGGCCATCCCCTCGCCTCTGCCTGCCAAAGTGCTGGGATTACAGGTGTGAGCCACTGTGCCTGGTCTTAGAAGACTTTTTAGGGTGCCCTCCACCTAGGCATGCTGAGATCTTCCTCAGCCCTGCAGCTGCTTGCATAGATGGCCTTTTTTTTTTTTTTTTTTTTGAGTCAAGAGTCTCCCTCTCACCCAGGCTGGAGTGCAGGGGCATGCTTATGGCCAGCACAGCCTTGACCTGCAGGGCTCAGGCGATCCTTCCAATTTAGTATTCCAAGTAGCTGAAACTACAGGAATGTGCCACCATGCCTGGCTTATTTTTTGATGTATTGCACAGACAAGGTCTCGCCAAATTGCCCAGGCTGGTCTTGAACTCCTGGACTCTGGCAGTCCTCTCATGTCTGGCTCCCAAAGTGCTGGGATTACAGGTGTGAGCCACTGCGCCTGACCTCTCTTCAGGTTTTATCTCTGCCACCTTTGAGCCACAAGGCACTACTTATTTTTCCTAAGTATACCCTATTTTTGTTGTTTTTGAGTTTCACTCTGTCACCCAGGCTGGAATGTACTGGCACAATCATAGCTCACCAAAGCCTCAACCTCCTAGACTCAGGTGATTTTTCTGTCTCAGCCTTCTGACTAGCTGGGAGTACAGGTGTGAGCTACCATGCACAGCTGACTTTTTGATTTTTTTGTAGAGATGCGGTCTTGCTATGTTGCCCAGGCTGGTCTCAAACTCCTGGGCTCATGTGATCCTCCTTCCTTGACCTCCCAAAGTGCTGGGCTTACAGGCGGGAGCCACTGTGCCTGGACCTTGTTTGTTTTCTGGTGTTTTCTCTGTTTGCATTCACAGCTGAAGTGATTATTCCTGTCTCGAGCTCCTGTAACACCCTGGTCATATATCCAGGGATAGCTCTTAATACCTCTGAGTCTATGTCATCATGTGCATATTGCTAAAACTGGAATTTTTTTCCAGGCCAGGGATCAGTCTCCTTTGCTTGTAGTTCCAGCTACTTGGGAGGCTGAGGCAGAAGGATCACCTGAGCCCAGTGGGCTGAGGCTGCAGTGACCGTGAGCATGCCACTGCACTCCAGCCTGGGCGACAGAGTGAGACTCTGACTCAAAAAAACAAAACAAAACAAAAAAACACCTGGGTTGAGGGTTGCTGGTGGAAAGTATCTTGTGGGTGGAGGCCAGGGATAGGGCTCAGCATCCAACAATGCCCAGGACAGCTCCCACAACAAAGAATTCCTAGGCCCACATGTTAGGAGTGCCAAGGTTGAGAAGTCCTGTCCTAAAAGGACCATTCTCTAGCCCCTTTAGTGGCTGGTATAGCCCGGGGCATGTGAACAGTCATGATATAGTCAAAGGTGGCATCTGTGTAGGTTGGGTATCAAGGAAGGCTGGATCCTGTGGGCTGGGGGTGTGGCCATGAGGATAGGCCCACCATGGCTTCTGGATTCTTTTTTTTTTTTTGAGACGGAGTCTCACTCCGTCACCTCAATGTGCTGGGCTCCGGCGATCCTGATGCTTCCGCCTCAGCCTTCCAAGTAGCTGGCGTGCGCTACCATGCCCGGCTAATTTTTTTGATTTTATTGTAGAGATGAGGTCTCGCCAAGTTGCCCAGGTGGGTCTCAAACCCATAGTCTCAGGCAATCCACTCACCTCAGTCTCCCAAAGTGCTGGGATTACAGGCTGAGCCACTGAGCCCGGCTGGCTTCTGGATTCTTATGGATAGGGACCTTCCCTCAGGACTCCCTGGCCAAGGTGGGGCTGTGAACACCACTGAATATCCCTGAGTAGCCTTGGGGTGTTCTGTGACCCTCAGTGGCTGCTGGAAACAACATGGAGGACATCTATGGGGAGCTTTTGCTGCAGCTGCACCAGCAGTACCCAGGTGACATCGGTTGCTTTGCCATCTACTTCCTGAACCTGCTTACCCTGAAGCCGGGGGAGGCCATGTTTCTAGAGGCCAACGTGCCCCATGCCTACCTGAAAGGAGGTGAGCCCCACTGCAGCCATGAGCCATCCCTCAGGCCTTGTTTCCATGTCTGGACAAAAGAGGGAGAGGGTGGTTAAGGAGACCTGCTCTGAGGACCATCCAGCTCTTTTCTCTGAAGGTTCCTGGGCTCAGCGGGGAAGCCACCAGTAGGGGTGGTGAATGGCAACTTGATGTTAGGCACTGAATGACCTGTGAGGTCATGCTACTCTGATGTTAAGCTCTGTTGATCGATGTGGGAACCACAGTTTGAGCCCAGGCTACATTGGATCAGAGCCCCCCATACCTCATGTATGTCTGTCCTCTTGTATGTCTGTCCTACTTACCCAGAGATTTTTACATTAAGATATGCATGTTGCCACAGAAGGCTGGGAACGTTTTGACTGTTGGCTGCTTATCCACTCATGCACAGGATTCTGTGGCAGAAGTGGGAGACTACAGAGTTGGGGAGGACTAGGGCTCCCCAACCCGGGGTTAAGATGACTCCCCCAGCAGTAGTGGGTGACCTGTCGCCTGTTTTTGGTGTTTGATATCTTAGCCTTGTTTACCCAGAGAATGCAATTCATGCACATTTTTGCCTAACTCTGCAGGGGGTTCACAGAGCTCAGGTTAGGAGGGCTAGAACTAGAGAGACAAACTCCAAGGCATACTTCACCAGCTGAGCACATGACAATTGCCTGTCCCCAGACTGCGTGGAGTGCATGGCATGTTCAGACAACACCGTGCGTGCTGGCCTGACACCCAAGTTCATCGATGTACCAACCCTGTGTGAGATGCTCAGCTATAGCCCCAGCCCCAGCAAGGACAGGCTCTTTCTCCCAGCACGGAGTCAGGAAGACCCTTACCTCTCAATCTATGACCCCCCTGTGCCAGACTTCACCGTTATGAAGATGGAGGTAAATGAGGGGCCGTGGTGGGTGGCCTTTGGCATGAAAAACTCTGGCAAGGGGCACAGTATGGAATAGACCTGGGGCTGGGTTTCCCGTCAAGCTCACATGGTCTGGGGCGGCCTCAAGGCCTTCCCACGCCTCCCTGTCCCAGGTGCCAGACACAGGCCTCCACACCAACAGCCTGAGGAATGGGAGAGAAGATGGTGGCAGAGCCTTCCCTCATGTCCTGGGGGGCATCCTGGCCTGTGAGCGGGTCGGAGCAGAGTCTGGGCTGCACTGTCTTCTCATTTCTTCCTGCCCAGGTCCCTGGTTCGGTCACTGAATACAAGGTCTTGGCACTGGACTCTGCCAGCATCCTCCTCATGGTGCAGGGCACAGTGACAGCCAGCACGCACACAGTCCAGACGCCGATTCCCCTACAGCGTGGTGGGGTGCTGTTCATCGGGGCCAATGAAAGTGTCTCCCTGAAGCTCACTGTGCCCAAGGACCTGTTGATGTTCCGTGCCTGCTGCCTTCTGTAGGGGCCGCAGCCTCCCCAGCGCTCTTCTGCCAGTCACCCTAAGTCCTGGCCAGCCTCACCTCCTCTGACCCACCCCAAATTCCCTCCCCTGCTCTGGACTCCTTGGGT